GTGTATATGAGGAAAAAATAACCCAAGCGTACCTAATTCGTTAACTGAATCACTCCGATATGCCAGTAATAAATGTAAACCCATATGTAACATCGTGATATCTGATTGAAAAACCAACAGCCAAAGAGGCCACCTCAAGAAAAAATCATTGCTTTTGGGACTCCGCTGTATGAGTATTTGTAGTTGTCGTTTGATAACTATAAGTTTGTGGTTGTTGATGTTGATAATATTGTTGATAATAATTTTGAGGTTGATTATGTTGATTATATTGATCTTGAGAGTATTGCTGGCCACCATAGTAACCAGAATAAGTCTGCTGCTGTGTAGTAGTTTGATCTCCAGTTCCAGGTGCTGAAGCAGCAGCAGAAGAATGAATGGCGGTGCCTGTCACCGCACCATATACAGACGAAGTAGAGCCATATGCACCAGGTGTGTGAGCTGTATTTGTAGTGAGACTTTGCGGACCAGTAGCGTTAGAATACTGTGAAGTTGTGGTAGCAGATGTCGTTCCATATGCGTAACCATATTGTGAATACCCGTAATTTGGTGTTACCGAAACAGACTGACCATCTTGTTTGACATCAGTTCCCTGACCAAGTTTGGTTTGATTTACTGCTGGAGGAGTTTGATAATAACCAACTTGAAAATAATAAATAATTTAGAAAATTGATGAATTTCAAACCAAATAAATTAATAAATAATTAACAAATAATAAGTTAAACGTATGCATACCTTGTTGACTAATGGGCTGTCCAACTGGTTGTGCTACAGGAGCTGGCGTAGGCTGTCCAGTAGGAGGTTGATTATATTGTGTAGTTTGGCCGTAAGTTCCGTACTGTGTCTGAGCAGGAAATTGGTTGTATGTCGTAGGAGTTTGACTGGTATTATATTGTCCATATTGGCCATAGTTTGCAGGTTGTTGGCCTTGTGTCCCGTATGCGCCAGTAGTAGAATATCCGCTAGTTATGGTTTGTCCGTAATCATTTGTGGTGTTCTGACCGTATGCAGTCTGTTGAGGTTGCGTGTTATATATTCCAGTAGCATATCCA